CACACACACACACACACACACAGCCTCTCGACAGTATGCGTTTTTGCTGGCTGTAGCAGCGCTATAACAAAAACACATAAAAACCATGACCTTTGATGAAATTTGCATTTTGAACATTCACAATCAGAACATCAGCTTGCCCACACATTTCCTGAACATCGTCAGTGGAAGGTTGATAGATTGTTGTAATGCACTGGTTCTGGACAAGCAGTGCTGCCATTTGATTGCCAAATGTTTTACATTTCATCAATACAAGCGCGCGTTTTCCTTTCAGATAGCTTGGATTGCCTGAATACAAAACTAAACATTCTAATAAAAGCATGTTGATTGCGGAAAAAGGTGGGGATGAAGTAAGAGGAAGAATGTGTAGGGCATGCGGCAACTTGATGCAAAATTTGTTGTTGCAGAATCAACAGTCAATTCTGAAAAGAATTAATCCATTCTACAACGAAACACAACACACTTTGCGCCAACGATGCTGGAAAAGTTTAACTTGACGGGACAAACCAGTAAATTGGTGAATAATTTGCATGCATGAGCTAGGAACGCAAGGTAGCACGCTGTTCGTCGATTTCCCTTCCAAAACGTTGGCAACATTAGCACTCGTCACGCCCGCAACATCTTTGCAAGGAGTAATGTTCTCGAAAATTTCTTGCATGTTTTTTGTTTCCTCCATGCCAACCTGAAGATATAAGAAATTCTGAACTTGAAGGCGCCGTTTTGGATTTTACCTCTTCCAGAATCTTCGTGCTTTACTTTGCCAGTCTATATAAATTGAAATGCTGCAACTGCATCGACATCATGCACTTCTTGAATATTCTAGATATGAAGTTTACGGATTTTTGACGATTGTGAGAAACAAATTCACGACTTTAGCTAAGAATTGCTAAGTTTTCAAAACCACTAGACTGCAGTCACGCAATAATCTGATCTTACTGCCATGATTCCTGGAATCTGGCCTCCGACTCCAGACAAATAATAAAATGAATGGCTGGTGTTGCTGGTAAAACAAATATAGACACCTGAAGGACAATGCCATCGATGCTGTAGTCATCGGACAGTTCCTCGATCACGTTTTCCACATCGTTGTGGGAAGTGCCGTTCAAGGTGATAAGTCTGATATCGAATCCAAACTCTTTCGCTTGTTCCAAATGGTCCACTAGAGCAATATCTTCGTACTTTACTTTGCCAGTCTATATAAATTAAAATCATGAAGAGATGCAAAAAGCATGAAGCAGGAAAGGATCTTCCTGTATTTTTTAAATGCAGAGAAATTTAATTTGATTTCACCAAAATAGTAAACAAGAAGGTCGGAAGAAAATAGTGTAGAAGCCAGAATTAGATAATTCACGGGAAAATTTGGATTGCTAAAGGAACCGAATTCAGATTTGTAAATTCAGAGTGGATATGTTCTTGATCTTTGGGAAATAGTTATATGTATTTTCGGAAAAATTTCCCAGAAAATTGCATCAAACTAAAAAAGCGGTGCTATACTCTTTTTCTTGCAAGCGATAGGTCCCATGATTTTATTTCCAGTGAGGACATTGTTGAAGTTATCCCTGTGGTGAAACTTTTTGTTTTTTTTACTCATGCTCACTTTGCTCTTTTTTCCGCCGAGGATCGTTACAGAACACTGAAACAATGAATTTAACTTACCCGCACGATAGCAAGTGTGGGAACAATATTTTCTGACGAGCTTTTGTTTAGTTGCCTCAGTTTGGACGACACATCAGCGAAGTAAGTCGCTGCTAGCTTTTCTACATCAATAATGTCCGGCATTGTTATAGAATGGATGTCCGAGAAATAGACGTGACAGCAAGTTGTAGTGACCACCCAAGTGTTACAAATATTCGTGGCAAAAAAAAAATTACACGGCCGATAAAATCTGAATGCTTTTTAAAAAGCCAGTAAAATTTAAAAAAAAAAAAAATTTTGCGGCAAAAAAAGACAAATATTATCAAAATGAAATGTGCCGTATTTGCGGAGGTTGCGTGAATAACTGAAAGTTTTGTAACGGAAACTGGCGAAGAAAAACATTATTTTTTTTCAAATTCCTGTTTACCAGCGCTCAGCAAGAAGCATCGAGTTTTTCCACGGCATAAGTGTTCTTCGAATGCGTCTTTGGTCTATTGATCAGCTGTGATTTTTAGTTCCCCGAACTTGATTTTACATGCTGCCACAATTCAGTAATTGTAAATAACAAGTCTAATAAAAAATACGCGAAGCAATATCACCAGCAGCTAAATGCAAAACAATCCATGCGTCACAGTACACTGTGCAAAATCATCGTCAATAAATCAACTGAATCTTGTACACTTCGCGCCTTGGAAACAGAGACTGCTGTGATTTTTTTGACCCAACAACATTCTCTCCTATCTCTCCACAAATAAGAATAAATGGCCAGCGCACCGACTGCCGGTACAAAGATGCGTTTTTTGCACAGTTCTCCGTAGATTTCATTCGATGACGGTACCGATTTTTCCTGCAAATGCTTCTAACTAAACGAATTGAGACTGGCCGCCAGAACTGCCAAAATATCCCCTTAAAATTCCAGTCTTCTAGCTCTTCAGGCTCCAGTATTAAAAACTTACCCGAAAAAAACTTTTCCGGGCCCGTAAATGGGAAACTAACTTTCCTGCTTTCCAAGTTAGCAATTTACCCGAAAAAAAATTTCCCGGGCCTTTACATGGGAAACACGTATACCCGGGGATTGGGTCTGAACTCATTAAGACCTACTTAGGCGGGAAACATCCCTTTAAAATTCCAGCTTTCCGACTTTTCTGGTTTCCGTGTTAGCGGCTTGCCCGTCAAAAACTTTGACGGGCCTCTGTGTGGGTACCACAGGAGTTAAAATGCCCGTTTTGAAGATGGGGGCCGTACATGCCTGTAGATTAAATTCCCAAACTTTCAGCCCTGTAACTTTTGTGGGTATCGAGATGAAAAATCGGTACAGATGAACACACAGACACACGCATAGACACATACAGACACACACACGCAGAAAACCCCTCCTCAATATGCGTTTTTTGCATTGAATAGATGTAAAAAACGCACAAGTAGAAGTATCACAGTAATTATCACAGTAGTAAGTATCACGGTAATTGGTAAGGCCATGCTTTTTGTGCAAATCTTTCTTGCAAATGCTTGTGCAGCTTCGCCGGCGGACGCTTATGTAACTCTGTCCAAGAGAATCTTGCTCTTATAAGCGGTCACTACTTTACTCTTTGATATGAAAGGAAATTTTTTGGCTCCTGAATTATTAATTTTGATGATAAATATTCCACACATTTGCACGTGAAAAGCAAGCGTGCACCGGGGTTGAATTTAAATTTGCGAGGTCTTACATGGGCAGAGGCATTATCCTAAAATTCCAGGCTCTTGGCTTTTCTGGCTCGCGAGTTAATAATTCACGCGCCAATACTTGCACTTGTTCGCACGCAAGGCCTAACCATAGGTGAAGACTGAATTTAATTCTGCTAGTTCACATGCGGGCAGGAGGCACTGTACTAAAAGTTTAGCTTCCTAGCTTTTGTGTTCTGCGAGTTACTAATTTAGGTGCTAAAATTTTCGCGTGACCCTATTTGAGATCTAGGCCGTACGGAGGCGCTGAATTAGGATTCCGATACCACATACGAATAGAGTATCACCTATTATAATTTTAGCTCCCTAGCTTCTCTAGTCCCTGGATTTTAAATACCGAATAAAACGCACTCGGAACACACACACAGACGAACTCTCAACAATACGCGCTTTGCAAATGTTGTAGTAAAAAACGCATAATAAACAATTATGATTATTTTTACATCCAGTATGGCTATGAATTTCTGTTATAAGCTTTTGTGGGTGTTCATTTAGTGACTGAGCCATTTGGCACAAACGGAAACGATTTCCCTGCCTGGAGCCCCGGTCTCCCAAATACGCCTCAAATCCGAGTCACAATCCCATAGCGATTATCCCACATATCACTTGCCGACAGAATACGACCGCACACTGGGCCACACAGAAAGATGAATAGTGCAGGGAGAAAAGTAAATTAAACTCAGACTGGGATGTACCAGGCTTGCCGGTGCGATCATACGTTTTGGCACTAAACTCGCAGATCGTTAGCAGCAGGAATGATCCTTGCGCTGTAGTCTAACACTTGGGCTCATATTGACCGCGCTCTGGCCTATTTCGGCATACTGGAGAAAGGATCTCGGTTAGGATGAGGGTGTTGCACTACAGGGCCACATGGACCTCCAGGAATATGATTACCAGTTTTTTGCATGAAGCCGGTCGTTTTGTTGGCCAATGCTCGCTTTTTGAAAAAAATGCAAATCTACAGTTCAGTAAAAAGTGGAAATGCAGAGCGGTCGTTCGCCAAAAAATTCAAGTATGCAAATAAACTGAATTTTTATTTAAACACTTGGATGAGGGCGGTCGTTAGCTGCAAAACGCACTCCTTTCTGATTTTTCAGTAAAGTTGAGTGTTTTTCGTAACTACCTGGAAGAAATTTTACTTCCAAGCGGAATTAAGACCGCACTTGAAAGTAGAATATCCCAGCGGAGTTTCAGTCTCACCTACTGTTCAGTAAACGAAACAGTCACTTCGCTACAAATATCTTTAAAGCACCCTAAGTCTCGGCGTAAGTGCAAATCGGTATTCATTCTAGGAATACGATTTCCCATGTGTGCGATAAACATACTAACAAAATTTCAGCTACTGTTTTCCGGCAAGTCTTCGAATTAGCGCAGTGCCAACTGGCAAATTTTGACGTGATCGTACGCGTTGCAAAACCGTGCGCGACAGCTGAGTTTGAAAACTTTAGCTCACACATGAACATAGAACATCCACGCAAAGTTGCAGCTTTGTACCTTGCCTGGTTCGCGAAATCGTTTACCGCCAAAGAAATTTATATATTTTTTTCGGGGGTCCGTACGGGGGGTCTAAGCGCGTATAAGCGAAAATTTTGAAGAGAGAATGACACAAGGGGTAGAAAAACATATCCAAAATTTCAGCCTAGCAGTTTTCCTGGTTGCTGAGATGAAAGTGAATGACAAAGTTCACTCGCTTCCGAACGCACACACATAGACGACCTCTCGGCAACATCCGTTTTTGCTCACTGTAGCTATAGGGCTGCACAGCAACAACGCATAAAAAACAAAGAAAAATAAATTTTAAAAAAACTTCAACTTTTGAAAAAATACGAGATTAAAAAATCGGAATCTGTGAGTAAAAGCTAAGAAGGCAAAAACAAAGCCATTAGCTAGAATTTGTAGCACACTAGTCCTCAAAGTTCTGGAAGTTAATTGTGCAGCTATGTGGTGTGTCAGTTGTATATGCCGGCTTGAGTGATCCGGCAAACGGAAAGTTGCTCATGCGCGAAAAAGGCCCCACGAGAAGAGCTAAGCTTGAAATTTTTTAGCCGTGCATGAGTAGAAGACACTAGTTTAAAATTCAAGATTACTAGCTTTTTCGTTGCCGAGTTAGGAATTTTTTCGCCAAAATCTTCACGTGTCTGTACTGAAGACGAAGGCGTACGTGACAGTTGATATTACGCTCCTAAGACCGCACTTGGCCAGGTAACAAACTGATAAAACTTCAGCATTAAAGCTTCCGTCGTCACCGAGTTGAAATGCCTGCACAGGCGCACGCACACACACATACACATACACCGGGTCATCATAATGTGCATTTTTGCATTTGCATATATTTGCATTTGTATAAAAACTGAGAAAGCAAAAGACAATTGAAAAACTAAGCAAAAACAAAAACTTGTTAGTGGAAATTGTCTTATGAAAAGCTCGTCTGCAGTAATGAGCTTTCCTATTTGTGAAGCTCTCAGCTTTACCAACGCAGTTTTACCTTATTCGCTCTCAACTTTGTTTGAGCATCAGCTTCATAAGTGGGGAAATCCACTACTGATGACAGGTTTTTATAGGACAATTTCCAGTCGTAAAGACTCAGTTTTTTTCTTTTGCTTGTTCTTTTTTTTTTTTTTTTTTTTTTCCCC